CACGTTCATCCTGTTAGATAGCTTTACTTGGTTTGATAATCCTAATAGCACCTCATTTCTTATGGAGGATCGCTGGCGATCCCTTTACTTTTCTCTTTAGAATAGGTATTATTTTTGTAAATTACTTATTGTATCCTAGTTCTCTTGTATCCAAATATGAAAAAAAAAATTAGTCATGAATCTTAAAGAGTTTTTGTGCAACTAACGGCTTGAAGTGTTGTTAAAATGTTAAGTACTACTAACAAAGAGTGGTTTGCGACTAAGTTTTTTCTCGGACGAGTTCGTTTTAGTTTGGGCATTATCGTGAGTGCGTCGTCAGCACCGGGCCGGGTCTTGCAATAGTACATACTAAGTAGGTAGTTTCCGAAGCACTATATCTTCGCACAATATCCGTGGTATTATCTTATGTATTCAATGTTAGTTAGTGCTCATCTTGTACTAATACGTCATTTCTGAGGAATAACATTATATATTCTACACCGCAGATCTGATCTTCATTACGCAGTATTGCTTACCATTGTATAACTAGTAGTCCCAGGGTCTTCAGACCCGTCATATAAGTAGTGACATTGTAAACGGTGAAGTAATTACTTACCTGTATTATGTTTGCATTTCATTAAGTCCATCGTTTTAAGGAACGATTTTGTTACATAAGAGCTGGTCTCTAATCTTTCATGTACTCAAAAGATATTCGTTTTTACTTAATTAATGATTTGTTTTAATTCTTGACAAGCCATCGTTTTTGTTATACAATTGTATTGTCATTGTTTCACCTAGTATGAGTATTATTTCGTGAGTATTCTCTAAGTCAGTCATGGTAGCGTTGATCGGAGTCAAGAATGAAGGTCCAATGTACATTATTTTCGTAGGTAATTTAAGATTTATTCGGCGACAAAAATTGTGGATGTACGCAGTTTCGCCGTGATGTCTTCAAATTGTCTGATTTTGGAAAAGCATAGAATAGAAATTGGACAACAAAAAAAATAAAATAAAACGCTTATCTACTTGTGTGTTAAAATAGAGACATTACGCTTAGAATCATTTGTTTTCTAATGTATAATATGTATTTGTAACGAAATTGTGTTATAATATTCGTATTACAGTAGATCTGTGTATAACACGTACCCAATCTTCGTAATATTATGAGAGCAGACACATGTACCCAACTGTGCCGTGGCCTGCTCTGGCTTATGGTATACAAACTCTTCTTGGAACCTGACAGTCGTGTATCTAGATTTACAATTGTTATGCGTTATCAGCATCTCATTCAATAGTGTACAGACCTAATTAATTAATGGTATATTAATAAACATACAGAATACCGAGTGACATGTCAAGTATGTTAAGTAGAACATGGAGGGCAGTTCTCGCAGCATGAGAACCAAGATGGATTTTACTCTTAAGACTTGAGCATTGACATGTCATTACCAATAGTCGTATTTAGAATTACCTACTTATTGAAATTATCATGTTATTTTCGCCAAAGTGGTTTCAATGTTGTGTATATGTTTTGTCAGTATGGAGAACTATCGCTAAGATTGGATAATACCTAGTTAAATTAATACCGAGTTAAAAGTGTGCAATGCTGGACATTTGCATTACATATTATTTATGTTTAAAATAAAAAATAGCTTGTAATAGTTTAAATGAATATTTGAGTTGAATTAAAGAATATTAATGTATTTAGAATAAAAAGATATGGGAGAAAACTCTAAGGCTGTTTCATTATTTCCACTCCTTTATATTATTTTGGTACAGTCACCATCAAAAGGGAATAAAAAAATAACTGATCATTATGGACAACGCCTCCATGGTCCGGTAGTTAGATAGTTAGATCGACCATATCAAAGGTTCTAGGTTTGATTCTTAAGTGCGATTGTCTTTCAATCTTCGAATTGGTAGGTACCCCAAAATCCTGGAGGGTAGGNTTTGTATTGATGAGTACTTTAATTCTTTAAAGTAATCAGGGTCTAATGATGGAGCTGGAAGGTAATTCGCAATAAAACGACACAATCGCATCAAGTTTGGGTTTGGTTCAATTTTAATTTCTGTGATGGGTCTGGGTGGTAATATGTATAATAAGTTTGTATTTACAAAAAAATGTATTTAAGTATGTTTATATCCGTTTTCTAGTGAGCGGACACTGTGAATGTACGTCACCCGGGGTCACGTGACCGTCGGCGGGACTCAATATTTAAGCGAACTTTGAATGCCTATAAAATCATAACTACTGGGTATTTTTGAATGAAATAAAAACTAATGTATTCGTAAAGGTAAAAGCCTAATTGTAACATAGGTTTCAAGTGATTTTGCATACCTAGTAACATTCTCAATTCAGTGGCGGCGTAGCATAGGTTGGCACCCGGGGCGAAATTATTTGAACCTTGCATACAATTTTTTTTTCGTTTTATTATTACGTGTTAACGGATTAACGATTAACGAAGTTAATTTTTTTAGTAACGGTTTAACAATTAACGAAGTTAACTATTTGATTAACGGTGCCCAGCTATGCAGATGCCTATAATAACTCCCATAGATCTCACACCACGTTTGATAAAAGAAGTTATGAACACACATACATATAGCTTGCCCTACAGCGTTGCCAGTTTTTTTTTTCGCCAAGTCGGACTCTTCCGTCAGAAGCGGGACATAGTAAAAAAACGTAATACAATCAAAGGTTTTCAAATATTTATCTGTTTATTTGACTTAAAATTACGTTTACGTGACAATATATAGCAAAAGTAGCCATATAAAATGTATTTTAACAAAAAAATAACATTTTAAATCAGATTTACTCTATCGTTAAATTCGTCTTTAGAATAAAAAAAGAATAAAATTAAAAATGTTTTATTCTTTAGAATAATATGGCGTTTCAAACAATAGTTTGGTGAAGTAAGTGTCTCTCTCCGAAAAGCGGGACCGAGCCTGTCCCGCGCGGGACATTTAAATTTGATTTAAAAATCGGGACGTCCCGCCAAAATCGGGACGTCTGGCAACGCTGTTGCCCTACCATCATTTCGGGACAACATACAATTATGGGCTGGTGCTGAGAAGAAGTGGCGGAAGAAAATCCGTCACCTTTGTCGTGTTGTTTGTGTTTTAAAATGTAGAACGCGAGTCTAATATCCTAAAACTTCAATTCGAGCAAAGGTTCCAGCGTGGTTCCAGTGATTTAACGATTTGAAATCGTATATGTCAAAAGGTCAAGAAAATCAGACAATATTGTACCCAAATGTCATAGGCCACCCTGATAAGATTCGTGAACCCGATAAGGCGAGGTAAGTAATGGTATCTATTTGCTAATCAAACAGAAATCCACGCAACCTTTCCTCGAAATCCTCGACTAGCTGCTTGACCTTTAACTGAACGGATTTTCATTTTTTAGAGGGTATCCCACTATTTCCGTTACATAGTTAGGCCTGTTTTCATTGACGGAAATACTGGAATCGTGTACTTATGGCCCAATAATTCCATAATTAAAATTAAATTATAAAATATCGACCAACTTCGAGAAAGAGTTCAATCGTCGAACCCAACTCGGCTAGGCAGCGTTCGGGTAGCTTCGCGATAATTATTATGCAGCATCTAAGTGCAGCATATATAATGCATAAGACACGTGAGCATAAATTATGCTCACCGAAATACCACGTGTCTTAAGACAAAAGTCTTTGTCCAGTGTGTGCTGCCATCAGTGATGATTTATGGATCTGAAACGTGGTCGCTTACCATATTACCATGGGCCTCATAAGCAGTAGCGGCGTAAGGGGGGGGCGGTGGGGGCGGTCCGCCCCGGGTGCCAAGCATCAGGGGGTGACAAAGTCACGCAGATTAGTACTCATTGACGCATCTGCATGGCAAAGACGGTCGTGATGTCATGACAGGGGGGGTGCCATTCTGGGGTGCCTTAGGCTATAATTTATATTATGATGGGGGGGGGGGGTGCCGCCCCGGGTGCCAACCTATGCTACGCCGCCACTCCTCATAAGAAGGCTCAAGGTTACCCAAAGGGCGATGGAGCGGGCTATGCTCAGAGTTTCCCTGCGTGATCGAATTAGTCGTTCGTTCGTCTTCGTTTGTTCGTTTCAGCCAAATGACGTCCACTGCTGGACAAAGACCTCCTCCTACGATCGAATTAGTGCTATCAATCAAACCAAAGTGACCGACATATCTCACAGAATTGCTAAAATCAAGTGGCAGTAGGCGGGGCGCACATAGCTCGTAGAGACGATGGCCGTTGGGGCTATGTCGGTTAATTCTGCGAGCAATTCTGCGAGCTATGTCGCTTACTTTGGTTCTCCTGCGGCTCTCCTCACGACGAACGAACGAATGAAATTCAATGTGTTTTTGACTTTGAAACGCAGTGTTAATTTTTTAAAGTCTATGCAAATTAAACAGTGCTTCAATTAGTGCTTCAAATGAAACAATATATCACTTCTCAAAATCTCTCAAGAAGTCCGTGTGAGGTCGCGCCACCACATCTTTAAATGAAATTCAAGGTAAAGGCAGAATAAATATCATTCAAGTAACAAAAAAAAATATTCAAGTTTAGCGTTTGAACCTATGGTTCGAACTGAAGACTTGGCTGTATAGTAGTGTCTTTGCCTTTTTCTTCAAAAGGAAAAAAGAATTGAATCAAAAAGATAGATGAGTGTGCGTTTACCTTTACATTAAGGTGTGAACAAAAAATCCGAAGGCACAAAGTTCTCGGCTTCATGCACCGTTAAAAAAGAAAACAAGCCAACGATTATATAATATTATGGATGGAGGCGCAAGAAAAAAATAAAAAATAAATGACAACTATTAAGTCTTTTTTCATATTATTTACCTACTCAGTAGGTATTTATTTCTTAATTATGACGATTCCATCACGATTTACGCGTAAACGTGGCTTTACCGAGTTTACCCCAGACAGACATTATAGTGGTTAGCCCATTTATTTACAAGATCAATGGCGAAAGCCATAAAACTGACAGTAACTGTCAACATTGTCAAGCTCAAACAAAGTGTCATTTTGCTTGAATTTGCTAGCGTTCGCGTTGCGTCTGAAAAAAAATGCCTCTTTAATTTCTAAATGCGCATTGGAGAATTACGTTCAAGTGATCAAAGAGTGAATAATAAAGTAATAGTTGCAAAATGGTGAAACTAACAACAGAATTGATTCAAAATTCCATGCAATACATGAACCCTTGCAGGGATCGTGAATTGGATTTGAGAGGTTAGTTTACATTGGTGTAAATAATGCGACGAAATTGAAGTAGGCTGATTGAAAGACAATATTGTATGCAAGACGAATTAATAATTCAAGTTATTCTCGCTTTTTGCAGGCTACAAAATACCTCAAATCGAAAACATGGGTGCCACCTTGGACCAGTTTGATACTATAGATTTGTCAGATAACGATATCAGAAAACTTGATGGATTCCCCCTTTTGAAAAGACTTAAATGTTTACTACTTAATAATAACAGAATAGTGTAAGTATTGCATAGCCCGCTCCATCGCCCTTTGGGTGACCTTGAGCCTTCTTATGAGGCCCATAGTGGCCCGGCATTTATTATAATAATAGAATTATAATAATAAACCCAGTAAAAGCTTTATTATGTATTATCATGCTTTCGTCTTTTTCAGTCGACTTGGTGAAAATTTGGAGCAGTATTTACCAAATTTGGATTCTCTCATATTGACCAATAACAATATCACAGAGCTCGGTGATTTAGACCCTCTTGCAACCATCCCGAAGCTAAAAACACTATCATTGATGCACAATCCTGTTGCAAATAAACAGCATTACAGGTGAGAGAAAAAACAAAACTTGACAGTGAAGTATGCAAAAATAGAAGTTATTTTGAAAGCTCATTAGCTAGGCTTATTATAAATTAAAAAAGACTATTATCTTTCCAAATGTCTTTTCTGAATAATAATAAGTAACTGATTATGTTTCAGAGCATACATTGCCTATAAGTTGCCCGAGTTAAGACTACTAGACTTCAGAAAAATTAAGCAGAAGGAAAGGGATGAAGCGATGGTGCTATTCAAAAGTAAAAAAGGAAAAGAAATGCAGAAAGAGATTACGCGCAAAGCCAAGACGTTTGTGCCTGGTGGGAACATGCCTGACCCTAAACTGAGTAGTAAGTACAAAATATACATATTTTTAGGTTATTCCACTATTCCCCACTGGATTAGTGGATTATTTATTGATTAATGAAATAACTCTTAAATCAAATGTTTATGCATTTTGACCAGTCTTGGCACATGAATGTCAAAAACAATAAAAAAAAGGTAGCCCCTAAGCCCTAAGGGGTACTTTACATGTCTCCTTATGCTTTGAGACAAATATTATGGCAAGACTACCATTACTATTAGCTTCATCAGATTAGTACACAATGTTAATTGTTAACAGGTTAAGTTGCACCATCTAACTTTGACGGTAACTATAATGATATGATAACCAATGTTTTTTGTATAGAGATTGACAGATTTTTGACATTTGTTAAAGTTAAAGTAAGATGGTGCAACCCAGCCATAATCTCTTTTCATCGATTATACATGATTTCTGCATCACCTTAGTCAAAAAGAAAAAATATTTAACAATAATTGCATTTTTTGCATTCACAGACTTAACTCCCCAAGAAATACACAAAATCAGAGAAGCCATCAAAAACGCGTCATCGCTGCAAGAAGTGGAAAGGTTGACACGGATGCTGCAGTCTGGCCAGATACCTGGACAAAAACCTATCCAACCGCAATCACAAGCCAATGGGCAACGTAAGAACATAGCTTTTATTTCTTTATTTGATATTACTACAATTTTCTTCACTTGTCAAATAATAAAAAATTGTGTGTGTAAACACACATATCAAGTGATTATCATTGTGGGCTCAACAAAATAAATAGTTTAAATAGCCAATATTCATTATAATATTTATAATTATTTAGACAAAGTATTTGGTAAAGTGAACTTCCTATTCTTGGACTGCAGAATGAAACTAACAAAGCATTCAAGAACACAAAATACAAATACAAAATTGTTTATTCAGAATCAGGTTTGAAAAAACAGGGTTTCGATTGGGGTTTTCTTTTAAGTATAAGTAGATACTTGTGTTAGAAAACCAGAACAAGTGGTAGGAATCATATTATTTTTTCTTAATGACAAGCTACTCATCATCATAAGGTCATTTAGCCTCCACTTGTAGGAGGATGACCCTCTTAATTTGCCAGAGGAGGAGGAGGATTGAGGCATTTGTTAAATGAGGAAGACAGCAGAGGGCTATTAATTACCCTTAGCACCCAATGCATGCCTCTGGAAATTTAATATAATTACCTAACCTCTTGCCTTTGTAATAAAGTTTATGGTACCCTATACCACTCAACTAAAGGAGAGGATGAATATTATGTAACAAAATTCATGTTAATTTCGCTATTGTCAGAGAACTTTAAGGTGTTAAATAGAGACCCAATTTTTAATAAAATATTTTCTGTTTACTTCATTGTATATTACACATAATGGATGATTCCAGAAATAAGGTTGGCGCGGCTCGTCGTGGTGCCATCGTATCATATTTAGTTGTAGGATCTCGCATTTTCGTATAGCCTTCATACCCCTTAGCTACGCGGGCAGGTTTGCCGTGGAGTTAGAATGGGCCGACTTCATANAGTCCGATTTTTAATTCGACGGAATTCTGACAGCTGTCATTTTTTGACAATTCAGATGTAATAAGCCTTTTTTGCTTTGAATTAATAATAAATAATATGAAATGAAATTTCATCAAGTACAACTTTTAAGATTGAACTATTGTTTGTTTTGTGAATTCAATGTTCACTAATTATTATGTACATTTTAGAGACTAAATAGAAAAAAACGTGTTTTTAACACAGAAAAACGACATATTAACATAAACGAAAATATGTATTGATCATCAATCATCGTTATCGTCATCTTAATCAACTTGGATTATAAAATTGGCATCTTGTTAAATTGATTATTTTATGAAGCTTAATTTTATTAACAAAAGGATTTTCATAAAAAAGGTTTGTAACTCATGGATTATTGGGCAGGGAGTCCAGTAATAGAAAAATAATTTCCCAATTTTTTTTGTAACTTCAAAAATATGATAATAAAAATTCAAATGACCATTTTGAAAGGATCAGTACATTTTTAAGCCTTAGTTTTTCAAGTGAAACCTTAAATTCAAGAAAGGATTATTTTTTAATTTGTAAAAATGCTCTCCATTCTTAGTGGGAATGTTTCAATGTTGACAACACTTCTGAAATGTCAAAATTCCGTCGAATTAAAAATCAGAGTTTAATATAATTACTTAACCTCTTGCCTTTGTAATGAAGTTTATGGTACCCTATACCACTCAACTAAAGAAGAGGATGAATATTATGTAACAAAATTCATGTTAATTTCGCTATTGTCTGAGAACTTTAAGGTGTTAAATAGAGACCCAATTTTTAATTAAAATATTTTCTGTTTACTTCATTGTATATTACACATAATGGATGATTCCAGAAATAAGGTTGGCGCGTCTCGTCGTGGTGCCATCGTATCATATTTAGTTGTAGGATCTCGCATTTTCGTATAGCCTTCATACCCCTTAGCTACGCGGGCAGGTTTGCCGTGGAGTTAGAATGGGCCAACTTCATAGTTTCGTTACAGTCTGCTGGACAAAGGGCTTCCCCACGGGTTTTCACAAACACCGGTCACCGGTCCTGCGCTGCCCGCATCCAGGTGTCTCCCGCGACCTTCACCAGATCGTCGATCCACCGACTTCATCTATTACTTATAATAAATCTGTAGAGAGGTCAATTCTGTACATTAAATATACTTTCAAAATAACTATCAGGGGGTGATTAGTGATCGATACTGATGCCAAAAATGCAATCAGTAAAATTTTTGTCTGTCTGTCTGTCTGTATGTTCCTTATAGAAACAAAAACTACTCGACGGATTTTAACGAAACTTGGTACAATTATTCTTCATACTCCTGGGCAGGTTATAGGATACTTAGGAATTCCCATGGGAATGGGAATTAGCGGGAAAATCGTTTTGTATGAAAAATCTGAACCGCTTAAGTTAGACGCTTGAAATTCGGCATGCAGGTACCTTAGTAAACTTAAAGCTTAGTTACAACAGGATATTGCAAAATTCCCACGGGAACGGGAGTTAGCGGAAAAAAAAAATTGTATGAAAAAATCTAAACCGCGTAAGATAGATGAAGGGGGTAAAACAGGATCCACGCGTACGAAGTCGCGATCGGCCGCTAGTATTTTATAAATCATTATTTTTTACACTAATAATATTTTTATTGATTCCAGAAGAGGAAGACGAAGAGATGGAGACAGACCAGACAAATGGCCAGTGAAGTTGCAATTTTGCGAAAGAAATAGATACTACTGGTGTTTTTACATTTAATTATTATTAAGCTGGGGAGATCAGAACTCTAAAGAACTACTTCAGAATATTATGCTCTGAGAATCAGATACTACACAACTTATGTTAAGGACAGAAACTACATGGGTATTTATAAGTTATAAATGTGAATTGATTTACGTCAATAAATATTCCTACTTATACTTTACAGCATTCATCCCAAGGAGCGTGTGTCATCAAAATAAAACAAATTATTTTGCATGTCATAGTTTTATTTCAAATTTTCAATATTTGTCAAATCATATAAAGCACCTGCATTTATGATTAATAATTTTACATTTATTACGATATCTTAAATCATATTAATTACACAATATGTTGAGTTAACTTGAGCCAACTTGCATAGATGACTGTTATCAGGTGTCACATCATTATAATCATAATAAGTATTATACTATTCCTAAGAAATCCTTCTGGGCTCTCAACAGTAACAGTTGATCATTACCAGCGTCTAAGAAAACTGTATAGATTATTGGCAGCATTACCTTTCTGCCCATGAGTTCTTTCACACAGGGACGTTTTTCTGGCAGAATTGATAGCATTGCATCTATAAGATCTTGCATTCCTCTTTCGTAAACCGTCAAGTCAATAGGGTGGACACTCCCATTTGTTATAGCCTTTACTAATCCGACCAGAGACTAGAAAAGTAAAAGCGAATTTGCGTAATTATAATTACATACACAAGTTATTCTTAAGTAGGGCAATTAGCTCCATATTTTATAACGACACTCAAAGAATATTTCAGCCTCTCAGTATTTATGCATTTCAGCCACAGGACATCCACTGCTGAACATTATGGTAGGCCTCCCGCAATGATTTCCAGATTGGCCGCTTGTAGTAGCAGCCTGCAACCTTTATGAAGTAGGTACATACATAGCGGCCGCCCGCGACTTCGTACGTTTTACCCCCCTTAAATATTATGGTGGTTGATTTCTTAAGATACATAATATCTAGAGAGCGTATTACATTGAAATCTCAAGTCTCTTACTTAAAAAACACTACTTTCATATAAACCTCCAGAAAAATGTCTAGCCAGGCATCGAATCCAAGGCTTTTAAATTTTTAAGGCCTTAGCAGGCTATGGGATATTACCTCTGCATCGAAAGCTCTTTTGTGGGTACACATCTCATAGAGTAAACATCCGAGAGCCCAAATGTCGCTCTTCGTATCATAGGGCTTACTTTCACATAGTTCTGGGGCTAAATAATACGGAGTTCCAATGACAGTTGATGTTTTTTTCGCGCTGAAATGTTAAGTTTCACACTATAAGCACGCTTTAAGTAAACGTATTTTCAAATAACCAACAGTATAGCCTGACCAGGAACATAAAAACCCTCGCCATGTTGCGGAAAACTAATGGTACTAATTTCTTTTAATGGCAACAGTAACTGAAAACTTCATTATAATGTTACCTTGCATGTCAGTTTATTGCTGTCATAGTGTAAACAAACTTTATTTTATATGTGCGCAATTGATTTTGTGAATAAATTGCTAAAATCTTTTTATAGTCGTGAAAGAAAAGTGGTTCACAATGTGTTAAAGTATTTGTCGAAGAGAAATACTAAGGGTTCGGACAATATTTTCATTGAATAATGTTTCCGACAAAGGTTGTCAAATTGACTGACATGTTTATCGTATAGTACAGTCAACTATGAAAATTAGCTGTGGTTTGTATCAACTACCTATTTTAAAGTTTTTTGTCACTTTTTAAGAGTTGAATTTTATGAAATTGGGAAAGAAGTACCGAGTTTGAAGCGTTCTTAGCAGACATTGCAGTTGAATATTCAAGTTCTGAATTTTATTATTGATGAATAATAAAATAAATCCTACTAGCTCGATTGATGGTTTCATTTAATTTATTTAAACCAGGTTACCTATAATAATATTTTTTCGTTAATTTATGAAAATATCAAATTAGCCCGTAATTCTGAATCCTGATACATAAAGTTAGCCTATTAATTTAACACAGGTACGACTGTACTCAGTGTTGCACTATCAAATGCAATTGACGCGCCTCTATGCCAGGGTTTTTATGTTCCTGGTCAGGCTATANAATATCAAATTAGCCCGTAATTCTGAATCCTGATACATAAAGTTAGCCTATTAATTTAACACAGGTACGACTGTACTCAGTGTTGCACTATCAAATGCAATTGAAGCGCCTCTATGCCAGGGTTTTTATGTTCCTGGTCAGGCTATAGGTAAGTATGATAATTTATATTTACCTCGCAAGCATTTTAGAAATGCCAAAGTCACCAATTTTAACTAAAAGACCATTTTTTCCGGTTAATAAAATGTTTTCGGCCTTTAAATCTCGATGGATAATATTTAAATTGTGTATGTAGTTTACTCCAAGCAACACTTGACTGAAGTAGAAGAGTATTTCCTGTTTAAGTAAATAAATATTAATCAATAAGTGTATCACTTACTTACTTAGTTGAAATACAAACATAGAACGTCCTCCTTTTTTGAAGTCGGTTAATAAATTATAAATGGACTGACCTGTTGTTTTATAAGTTTTGGATAACGTTGATACATGTATTCTGCTAGATTCCCGCTAGTGGCATATTCCATAGAAATCATTACGTGATTGTCAGTGTAAAAGCATTCATAAAATCTTATAATATTCGGATGTCGCATCGCAGACAAAATGTTTACTTCATTTGCTATATCCTAAAGTAAATATTAAAAACAAATACATGACAAACTAATAGGGTACTATACCATTTTGCTGCGCGTGTAGCTTGGACGAATAAGCGTGTAGGTACCTAGGTACTAGGGATATTTTCATCACTTTATATAAGTAAGTGATAAACTCTTTAAAGCTCACCACACGAACGAAACAGATAAATAAAGGAAATACTAAAATGAAACTGCACAATTTATGCGGTCTTACCGCTAGGAAGCGATTTCTGCCTTACAACTCAGAGAAAGGGTTGCAGTTGCTTGAATTTTTAATAGATTATTGATTTACTATTGTCATAAAACTATCTATATTAACTAACCTGCTTATGGTCTTGGATCTTTCCATTTAATTCAATATCTTTTACAATGCTTAAATTATTACTTAATGTATTTTCGCACAAATAAACATTCCTGAAAAAATATTTAGCATTGACAATGTGTATAACGAATACTTATCTATTAAATCGCTTACATTGTACACTATCAGATTCTACTTACCCATACGTTCCTTGTCCTATTGTCTTTAAAACATTCAAATTATGATCCTTAAACCTTTTCGTCACATCCATGTTTTAAACGACGTATTTATTTATTCAAATTTCGTATAGTTTACACAATTTATGATTACCTAATTACTTTTCGTTGACCATCATTTCATTTCAACATCCATCATTTCAACAAAATAAAAATCTTACAATAAAGATAACATTTTTAGTGTGGGTAGTTAGAAACCGCACACTCCTCCGTCCGTACGTTGTGTACCTACCATGAAGCTACAGATAAAAATGGAGGCCACACTCCGAATACCTACTTGAAGCAAAAACTAAGTATCACTATCTCGCTCTCTGTGGGCAGACTCGCTCTTTCTAAATAAACAAAAAATATAAAATTGCTCAAATTCAATGAAACCAATGTAAAATCTTTATTTCTTGACATAGGTATCATTAAAAATGATAAGTGTCATTACTGGTAAAACGTTTTAGGAAGAAATTACTGTAAAAAATGTGAAAAATGTTTACAATGATCCAATGTCGGAAATCACGAAATAAACACTTACGCGTGGAATCTTATGTCACTTCCAGGACACCACGTACTACCGCAACCATGCACTACAAAATTTTGCACTAATTCTTGTGATAAAACAATGATTATTTCCTGTAAACAATCTCAAACGAAATTAACTGCATAATAAACAAAATAGTAAACAACCGCCATGATGGGCATCTGTGATGATGGGCCGGATTGGGCCGATGTTGCCACATGGTACCGATTATCCAGGAATTGGGATTGTAATTCCCTGATTCGCCAACACATTAAGCCCAGTGGTGCCAGATTAGGCGAATTATCGCCATTTAGGCTACCTCTGGGGGTCAAATGGCGACCAAAAAATGCAAACGGCTACCGGTAGCCATTTAGGCTACCTAGAAAATAAGATCGGGCTATTTAGGCTACTTCAGGATTACCTTGGAAAAATAAACCCTTACCTAGTATTCTGTAATTCAGTTAGATTTTTACAATGACCCCTACCCCCTTTACTACTCTAAAAAGTCCAAACTCCTTACTAAATCCGTCAATTTTTTTCGAAGTATCAGCTCCAAACAAATTACGTTTGAAAATTCGGTTATTCGGCTAAGTCCTGCACCCCCTTTGCTACACCCTAACCGTATTTATGTACATAAATAATAATGATCAAAATCTGTTTACTTTACACATTACCGGTGGACCAGCTGGTATTCTATACAATGGTAAAATATTAATTGAACAATAATATTTTATACATTGATTACGCGCCCCAGGCATTGATTTTACACATTGACTAGGGATTGTATAGAATTCCTAAATTATACAAATTGCCGCTAACACATACATTACGCACACACTTACACGCAATACAAATACACGATTTAAGAAAACAACATGGCCGCAATATAGGAAATGACAGGTTTTGTGTGTGTGTGTGTGTGTGTGTGTGTGTGTGTGTGTGTGTGTGTGTGCGTGTGTGTGTGTGCGCGTGCGTGTGTTTGTGTGTGTGTGTGTGCGTGTGTGTGTGTGCGTATGTGTAGTTGTCAGCTGATTGTCTATATTGCAGCCACGTTGATTTCTTAAATCTTGTGTGTACTCGGCACGAGTCAGGTAGTTAGTGACGTCACATAAAAATGTTGCCATAATGAGTAGGCTGACCAAACATTATCTACTTGTCTCTTTTTTCATACGTCACCATGGGTAAGTTAGAAAGAGATAAACAGCTGTTTGTCATTAATGTGTCGATTTGACATGTATTTTTGTATACTTACCTCAAAATGTTAGGCGAATTAGGCTACTTCAGGAAAAAAAATATATTAGGCGATTTAGGCTACTCGGTAGGAAAAATTAGGCGATTTGAGTTAGCTGATATCTGGCAACCCTGATTAAGCCTAAATGGCCGACAATTTGTGATTTTTTATTTAACTTGGTAATCTTAGTTTTAAATATTAATTATTTATTTGTTTAACTTCTGATTTGGTTAGTGAATTGGCTATTTCGAAGAATTTACAAGGAGATTTAAATCAGAAGATTGCAATACTACAGCTCACACTAAAAAGAGAGATAGGGCCGCAGAGAGCGAGATAGATATAAGTAGGTATTTGAATTTGACTCAAGTTTTTGTTGTTATCCTTAGTCTGAGAACTCTGCCCTCCATTTTTATCTGTAGCTTCATGGCGTCAGTGGACTCACTGGCAAGGCACCACGACATTTTGGTCAGTGGATTATTAGAACGTAAGTTGTCGCGGCGGCGTTTCTATTGGCCAGTATTAAAAAGTGTGCTATCTTCGCTATTGGCTTAGGCTACTCTGAATAAATTGGGTTCTAGAAATATTAGAGACACCAATAAAATCGCAGTACTGTGTGGTACAAACAAAAGTCGAAAATTCCAAATTCTGGAAAACACGACCAATTTGTTTGCTTTTGCAAGCAAATGATCAGCGGCTAGCGCACTTAACATCAATTAAGGCCAACTATATCTGCTTGCCAATACAAAAATGGGTCAAATTATGGGATCCTATGGTGCACGAAGTGTAGACCTTTACATGGATGATAAACCTACATTTGAACCTCACGCTGGTTTTATACAGGAAAGAAAACAACGAGGTAAATAGTGAATTGTTTATGAGACACAATTCGGATATTACCAAAATATCAAAGTTTCATGTAAATATCAAAGTTACATAATATTTTGTAGGTTACCAAAACTCTTGAACTAATCAATAAAATTATCGTGTATTTTATTATATAACAAGTTTATTCATTTTAGAAATGATAGCTCGCGAAGAGGATTTGATATCAGCAAGGATTCCTCCAGAAAGAAGGGACTACTGTGCCCACAAGCTGCTTGATTATCAGGTTTGCCGTTATAAGAACATGCCAATGCTGTACAAGTGTGCTCATGAGAAACACGATTATTTGAACTGTGAACATCAGGAGTAAGTACTTGTATTATTTTTCATATTTACAATTTTCTTGCTAATCAAAATGTATCACAGTACATAATTAATTACCGACCTGTAGTAAAGTGAAATGAAGGACTTAACTGTGAATCTGTAATCCTTCTCCTTTTTTATTATTCATAATAAAATAATTAATAAAAATCTTCCCTCACCATCCATATTTACTGTCAAAATTGTTTTGATTTTAAAATGACATTGATAATAATGATATCATAGATAAATTTTCAAATAGGCTTATTTTCTGACCCCGATATAAAAAGGGTGTATGTAATAACAGCAATTTACAATTTATCGTAGGTATACAGGGTGTCCCAAAAACAATGGATAACCCTGTAACCATCGATAGGCCTCTCCATGATCTCCCTAACGTCCATTTTTGACCCCAGTAAAAATATCACCGTTTTCAAGATTTTTAAGTTTTTGTGCATTTTTAGAAAATTGCCACCTGCGATTACTTTTTCTCATGCCATTTCTACAAATGATAATACTTTTCAATCTAGTTTTTTTCCTTATCACAAGGGACAGTTGGGCTATCAAAAGAAAGATTAACCTTTAACTGGTGACCTGAGGTCAACAGTGCGTTTTTGGTGAGGTGACGTTTAAGAGACGTCAAAGAAAAACTAATGTACAAAAAAATTGGCTAACGTAAAATAAGTTTGAGGCCAAGAATTTCGTAACTTATATAGTTGTCCAAATAATATAAAAACATGGTTTAAAAAAACATTAGTTTTTGGTAAAAAATCTGTCTTTATTTGAGCAAGGTACTTTTCATTAAAAAAAAAGTTAGTCACCTAAAATGGGCATACTAGCCCCCAGAAATACACTTTGGGACCTTCCTAATCATCATTTTTAGATAGTTTAGATACTGATCTACAAAACTCAGCAGGTAAAGCTATCCTAAGATAAGAAATTAAAAAAACTACAATCATCAAACATCACTTACTAGAAACGTTCACGTCTACAGACATCACAATTTTGCTTGCAGCAATTTAGGCACATAGGTTTATCATAATAAGTTCTAGTGAACCTAGTACATTTTATTACATGGCTAAGGCAAATGGCACATGTTCTTTTAACCCCAGAATGGTTTTGGGACGAGGCAGAAGTTGGTCTAGGTGGTAATTCATCAACATCAACTGAACGCAGCTCGCGGGGTAGGGTAGTCATTATAAGTCACGAGTTTCAATTGAGGTATAACTAAAGAGCTATCCAATGATAATAAGAAGCTGCCCCTAGTTACCTTGTTAGTATTGTCGCAATCACTGTTTAAGACGTAAGAATTTATTCCTGAAAAATATCGACTGAGCTAAGCTATAGAATATGATTATACATAGGCCAATAAGGATGTTGAATAGTTGAAACAAGAATCCCAATTAACCAAGGAAGTTTTTAAGGTAATGGGCACGATGGTCTTCCTACATTTTTTTTACACGATGGCTGATCAAATGTGCAAGACAATGAATTAATTTTTCCTTCTTCTCTGCAATTTCTTAAAATGTTCATACTTTTAAACTAGTTTGTTGAACTTTAATCTTTTCTTTTGATAGCCCAACTATCCCTTGTGATAAGGAAAAAAACTAGATTGAAAAGTATCCTCATTTGTAGATATGGCATGAGAAAAAGTAATCGCAGTTGGCAATTTTCTAAAAATGCACAAAAACTTAAAAATCTTGAAAACGGTGATATTTTTACTAGGGTCAAAATTGGACGTTAGGGAAACCATGGCGAGGCCTATCGATGGTTACAGGGTTATCCATTGTTTTTGGGACACCCTGTATAGTATTTAACATGATTTTACAGCCATTAACTCATTCTTGTTTTTCCAGTTATCTCCTTCGCATGAAAGAATTCGAACGTGAACGTCGCTTGAGAGTAAGAGAACAACGCTTGGTCGGTGCTGCTTAATTTATTAATCAGCTGGAGTAGTAAAAACATTTGTTATTATTTATGTAAATAGAATAAAAGATTATTTCAAATATTCTCTTATAAATCTTTACAAGCTACCTTAAAATTGACACAGCTCTTACATGTAGGTATGTGTTACCGGCAGTGTGTACAATCCCCAGTCAATGTATAGAATGCCAAAAAAATTCAGTTAATGTAAAAAAATATTAGGTATTAATTTTATGCTCTGACTAGGTATTCTAAACAATACCAAACGCACAGCGGCAATGTGTGTAAAAGATGCTAATATAGGGAAAGGAGAGACCAGCGGGCGGGCTGTTTACGAAATACGAGCAATTTTAAGAAAAATTCTAGACAGGCAGCGCTCGGCGGCCGCTGCCGCGGCACGTTCGCTTCCCTCGCTGTGCGCTCACTCGCTCATTCACCTTCACCATGAAGCTAAAGATATGCTCCCACCCCCTTTATTTAGGATACTACATACTACTCTCAGCGTGTCTCAGCTGACAAGTATAGATGACCCAGTAGTCCCAGTACCAAAGAATACATTTACTCTGACGAGCCCAGTACCCAGGCTGAACTGTCCCACCAAACTCAATGACAGAGGGGCGCTAGCGCTACCATCGTTCAACTGAGCCCCGCGGGTCTAGTCAAAACGCACTTTAAAATCGCAAACCCATCGCAAACCAGTCGCAAACAAATAAACAAATCGCAAAAGAGGTCGATAACAAAAAAGGCTTAGTCAAACGGCAAAAAATCGAATCGCAAAGCCCTACCTATCGATAATCGAAAGACTGGTTTGAAATTTCCCATACAAAGGCTTAGCCAACATGCATTTAAGACTCAATCAAAATCGAATCGAATCGCAACACCCGCCATTTTCATTGCGATTACTAAAACCCCGGTGATAAGCTTGGATTCGATCGAAAACCAATAGGGTGAGTTGCACCACCTAACTTTAAACGTAACTATGACGTTAACCGGTGTTTTTTGTATGGAGTTTGACAGATTTTAGACGTTTGTCAAAGTTAAACTAAGATGGTGCAACCCACCCTAAGGCTGCGGGTCTAGTCAAAACGCACTTTAAAATCGCAAACCCATCGCAAACCAGTCGCAAACAAATAAACAAATCGCAAAAGAGGTCGATAACAAAAAAGGCTTAGTCAAACGGCAAAAAATCGAATCGCAAAGCCCTACCTATCGATAATCGAAAGACTGGATTGAAATTTCCCATACAAAGGCTTAGCCAACATGCATTTAAGACTCAATCAAAATCGAATCGAATCGCAACACCCGCCATTTTCATTGCGATTACTAAAACCCCGGTGATAAGCTTGGATTCGATCGAAAACCAATAGGGTGAGTTGCACCACCTAACTTTAAACGTAACTATGACGTTAACCGGTGTTTTTTGTATGGAGTTTGACAGATTTAAGATGTTTGTCAAAGTTAAACTAAGATGGTGCAACCCACCCTAAGGCTGTTTTGACAAATCCGTATCGCGATGTCGTTTTGACAGCTAGTTTGACAGCGAAGCATAGACGTAAACAGAGAGCAGAAAGAAGGAAGAAACTAATTAAAAAAAAAGCTAGAAAAAGTAAAAACAATCGCAAAGTCATAGACATTTTTTAACTTTTATTCGATTTTGAATGAACTTTTATATCGCCGCGTCGTTGGTGGTTCAATGTGCATTTTGGCTGCCATTTTCCGATCGAATCGAATCACTGGTGACGCGGCGACTGACATTAGTGAAAACTTCACATTGGTTTGCGATGGCATTTTGACTAGACCCACAGACACGCTTCTCGATTCTGATTCTGTGATACGATTGGTCGTTCAACAGCATACGTCAGCTGTTTTGACCAATCGTATTGCAGAATCAGAAACGCATCTGGATTGTACACAGATAAAGATAGATGCAGCATGTGTCAAAATCGTTTCACAATGTCTATGATGAGGCGACCGCAGGAACGTCACTATTCTTGCAATCCTGTCAATGAAGTACGACATTTTCTGGTGCAGATTTTATCGCCATAAATTATGAAACTTGATAGTCATGGATTTGACTGACAGCTGTCCGTCAAATTCCCGCCCCGCACCCCGCATTGTACATATTTTGTTCGCGATGTCTGTTCTATACGTAGTAATATTACTTCAATGTATCCGATTGTTGTAATCGGATTACATGAACATCACTCGACCATGTATGTCCATTTGGACATATCGGAATGGCACGCTTTGACGATCAACTTGCTGTATCTACTCTAATCCATATCTGTGGGATTGTAGACGTTAAAAGTTACCGTAATCGGGGCTCTGGTTTCCAACATGGCAAAAATCGGAACCAGCGATCCGGTATTGACGGTGGCGCCCCACTGTCAATGTCATGCATAGGACAGTATTTTGGAACTATACACACACAAACACAAACATCTGTCAGCTGATTGCCTATATTGCGGCCATGTTGTTTTCCCAAATCGTGTACAATACCCGGCGATAAATATTGCACATCGACCGACCTTAAGAAAGAGAAATCGGATAATTTCGGTTTCGTAGAGCGTTATCTCTGTCCACGACTGACAATGACGTCAAAGTTATTTTGGAACTATACACACACAAACACAAACATCTGTCAGCTGATTGCCTATATTGCGGCCATGTTGTTTTCCCAAATCGTGTACAATACCCGGCGATAAATATTGCACATCGACCGACCTTAAGAAAGAGAAATCGGATAATTTCGGTTTCGTAGAGCGTTATCTCTGTCCACGACTGACAATGACGTCAAAGTGTAAACAAACTATATTTTAAATGTGTGCAATTGATTTTGTGAATTAAATTGCTAAAAACTTTTATAGTCGTGAAAGAAAAGTGGTTCACAATAATGTCAAAGTATTTGTCCAAGAGATATACTAAGGGTTCGGACAATATTTTCATTGAATAATGTTTTGTCAATCGCATAGGTAGTGTGCGACAGAGATAACGCTCTACGAGCCGAAATTAACCGATGGTCTCTTTCCAAAGGTCGATGTGCAATATTTATTGCCGGGTACTGTATACTGTATAAAGGCTGTGTTGGCATAAGACGACCCACACTGAACTGTCCCACCAAACTCAATGGCGCTACCATCGTTCAACTATACGTTCCAAAATACTGGACTATATAGTTCCAAAATACTGGACTGTCCTGTCGATGACATTGACAGTGGGGCGCCACCGTCAATACCGGATCGCTGGTTCAGATTTTTGCCATGTTGGAAACCATATAGTTGAACGATGGTAGCGCCCCCCTGTCATTGAGTTTGGCGGGACAGTTCAGCGTGGGTCATCTATACCAACTATACCTTGCACGTTTATGCAGTGTTGCCAGAAGGTTACTTTTGTAACCTTTTAGGTTACTTTTGAACTGCTGTGGTTACTTTTAGGTTACACTAATGAAAAGGTTACTTTTAGGTGATTTTTCAGAAATTGTAGAATTAACTTTACAGGTTATTCAGTAAAAAATATGAATAGTGACAATTTAAAAATTATGTCATAAAGTGCATTTAAAATGAGTTTTAGCGAATGTTTTTCGATAATAAAACGCAAATCCATGAAACGTTTTTATACGACTGGTCACTTTTCGAATTTAGATGATCAATTGTATTCATTTTTCATCCATGAACAACCTTACACAATCCCCCCCCCCCCCCCCCCCATATGAAGGTAACTTTTGATTCAAAAAGGTTACTTTTTTTTCTATTTCTGGTAATTTCTGACTAGACCCGACTGGCAACACTGTTTGATTCAAAAAGGTTACTTTTTTTTCTATTTCTGGTAATTTCTGACTAGACCCGACTGGCAACACTGCGTTTATGGTATAAACGTCAGTGATCGCCATGCACACATACATTCACACCATAATCAGCCACTTCGAGCGCAAACTTCACACAGTTGACACATTTACTTAGTGGCGAAAAAAACAAAATACGATATTATGTCTTGTGTGGTGAAATGGTGTAAAAACCGTTCTGATCGAACGACCAAAAATCGAGGAATCACTTATCACAGGTACACACTTAGTTCCCGGTTTTTAAACAATAAAATCAAACGATAATCACTCAAAAACAATAATACTTCAAAGGCCAGTGTTCCCAGTAATTTGTGTGGGAAAATTACCCGAAATATGGGAAAAGTAATAGTTTTTACTTATTAATTGTTTATTACGCATTAAATACTAGGCATTTTAATTATTTTAAAATTACTTTTTTAAAATTTTGTGTACTAGGTTTTCTATAGTTAATGAAGTATGGAGAAATGATTGGATTGAAATAATAAGAAAATGTAACAACGATAACGATTGGATTCCAAGCAAACGTAGTGTCATTTGCAGTTGTCATTTTGAAGATAATGACTTATATACAACTAAAGGAGGACGCCAGCGTGTTGTTACTTATGCATTGCCTCAAAAGGTAAATTAAAATCTTGGTACAGTGCGATACAAAAGAGTAGAAATTTAATGAGGGCACCACTGTCGTTCACATAGCAACCCTGACAGCGCGACTAGATTGGTCTTGATGCTTGAATTTTTAGGACTTATTTGGGGCCATTCGTTTATTACGTAAGACTATTTTTTCGCTACTTTTTGACAAAATATACAAATTATAAAATATACAATTTTTTTATAAAATATACATACATAAATAATAATAATAGTGCGCGTATAAATTTTAAGTGTAAATACAGACTTAGTAGAAAATATACGATATAATATAGACGAAGTAGAAAAGATGTTTGATTTGTAATCTTACGTAAGAACACATTCCTTGTAAGAAAAAAATTATCACGTGTTCCGAAATAATTAATTTCTTCCCTTTTTTGTCGCACTGTAATGGATGGCCTTTGTTTGAAACTTCTAAACTTTTACAATTAAGCTTATTGAAACTTTTCTTCATACTTTTTGGAAAATCTACATGACCTGTGGGTCTAGACAAAGTGCAAATTATAATCGCAAACCAGTCGAAAAGCCCCTTTTTTGTATGGAGTTTTGACGGATTCGATTTTCGATTCGATCAAAAAGTGCGTTTTGTCTAGGGGGGCTGGGTAGTGTCGTTATTTATTAAAAAAAAATCTACTAACATTCCATCAATTCATTCAATACCTTTATTTGTTTTTAGTTTTTATTTAAAACAGCACACGTGGCAGAGGAACATCCTGCGGTTGTGTCCTCTATTCCTAGTATTTCACAAGAGGTGCGTAATAAAATAAATAAATAATTATTTTATGTCATGCATAAAAAATATGTCCATAAAATTAGCTTAATTAATATTATTGTAGGTATTTTGATAATGATAAAGTTTGAACAGAAATCCCTGATAATAGTTTTTTGCACTGTTCATATTTTTAGAGCACATCGATGACTGTGCCAGAACTGGAACATTCTAGTTTCATAACTATGAATATAAAGCAAAAGCAAGAGAACCTACCTGCTGAACCAAATATTATCTGTTTTTCTCAAGGGGTGCGTGGTATTATAAATAAATACTTTTGCTGAGTTTAATTATTTATACATTACACAGAGTGACTTGTAATTATAGAACACCATTATAAGGTTCGTTCCTTGTTTCGTTACGTATTACATTAATTTATGCATAGTTAAAAATTTGTTGCAAATGACCTGTACCTACTATACAACGTGTTAAGTAAGTACAAGTCATCCTGTATAATATTATATTTTGATAATGATAAAGTTTGGACAGAAATCCCTGATGAATGTATATTTTTGCATTGTTGATATTTTTTAGAGCACATCGATGACGATGCCAGCACTGGAACATTCTAGCTTCTCAACTATGAATATAAAGCAAGAGCAAGAGAACCTACCTGCTGAACCAAATATTATCTGTTTTTCTCAAGAGGTGCGTGGTATTATAAATAAATAGGTACTATTGCTGAGTTTCATTAATTATACATAATATATTTTACAGAGTGACTTGTAACTATAGAACACCCTTATAAGGTTCGTTCATTGGTTCGTTACGTATTATTTTATTATGCATAATACATAACGAAATTTGTTGCAAATGACCTGTACTGTACCTACCTACTATACAATGTGTTAACTACGTACATAAGTCACCTGTATAATATTTATATTTTGATAATGATAAAGTTTGGACAGAAATCCCTGATGAATGTATGTTTTTGCATTGTTGATATTTTTAGAGCACATCAGTGAGTGTGCCAGCACTCGAACATTCTGGTTCCTCGACTATGGTACTACTTGCTGAACCAAATATTGCTTTGCGAGAGGTGCGTATTGATATTAATTAATTACTAAATATTTTATTAAAATAAGTCCTCAATGGAGAAGTTTCCAAATTTCTATTAATGAAGCTTGAAAATAATTGAGTAAAACCAATAATAATTGTGAAAGAATCATGAAAATAACTCTACAAATAAATAAAGGACCCCAAAGTTGCGCATAACAAATATTTCGCGCCATTTGATCGGTGACGTCACGGATCAGCATTCAGCACGTTCTTCATTTGAAGTACAAACTGTGAATCACTCCTGGACCTCCTGGTCTAGTGCTGTTGACAGATCCAATTTTTAAAAATCTAGTAGTTTTTAAATTTTCATCCAGGGTCACTCAAAATTATTTTGTAACCTTTTTTTGACATGTCCTAGACCTGGCCAATACAATCATAGTTTGTTAAAAAAATAACGGGAATTTTTAGTTTTTTCAAAAAAGTATTATTTATTCGTCAATCAGTATTGTCACCTTTAAAGTAGTCCTTATAGGACAGGTGACCCGGTTTTGGTCATTTTAAGAATTTTGTAGACCATGAGGCTATTCATTTTACAGTTTTTGTTATCACGGACATATTTCTTGTAAAAAGTGATTTAGATCTAGCCTAAGGATGCATTTTTTTTCATAATGATTCAATGGAAAAATAATCCTGTAGAAAAGAAAAAGAAATGGGAATTTGTGCCATTTTTGGCCAGATTTACCCCATTTCTGGCCACAGTCATGTGCCAGTTTTGGCCATCAAAATTCATCAAAAATAAAAAGCAGATAATTCAAAGTAATAAAAAGTTAATTCGAAAATCGCATATTTTACGACCAACAGTCTTTATTTAGAGAAAAATAGCTAACATAATATTGACGACAAATCTATACTTATAATAAATCTGTAGAGAGGTCAATTCTGTACATGAAATATATTTTCAAAATAACTATCCCNAGGTGCGTGGTATTATAAATAAATAGGTACTATTGCTGAGTTTCATTAATTATACATAATATATTTTACAGAGTGACTTGTAACTATAGAACACCCTTATAAGGTTCGTTCATTGGTTCGTTACGTATTATTTTATTATGCATAATACATAACGAAATTTGTTGCAAATGACCTGTACTGTACCTACCTACTATACAATGTGTTAACTACGTACATAAGTCACCTGTATAATATTTATATTTTGATAATGATAAAGTTTGGACAGAAATCCCTGATGAATGTATGTTTTTGCATTGTTGATATTTTTAGAGCACATCAGTGAGTGTGCCAGCACTCGAACATTCTGGTTCCTCGACTATGGTACTACTTGCTGAACCAAATATTGCTTTGCGAGAGGTGCGTATTGATATTAATTAATTACTAAATATTTTATTAAAATAAGTCCTCAATGGAGAAGTTTCCAAATTTCTATTAATGAAGCTTGAAAATAATTGAGTAAAACCAATAATAATTGTGAAAGAATCATGAAAATAACTCTACAAATAAATAAAGGACCCCAAAGTTGCGCATAACAAATATTTCGCGCCATTTGATCGGTGACGTCACGGATCAGCATTCAGCACGTTCTTCATTTGAAGTACAAACTGTGAATCACTCCTGGACCTCCTGGTCTAGTGCTGTTGACAGATCCAATTTTTAAAAATCTAGTAGTTTTTAAATTTTCATCCAGGGTCACTCAAAATTATTTTGTAACCTTTTTTTGACATGTCCTAGACCTGGCCAATACAATCATAGTTTGTTAAAAAAATAACGGGAATTTTTAGTTTTTTCAAAAAAGTATTATTTATTCGTCAATCAGTATTGTCACCTTTAAAGTAGTCCTTATAGGACAGGTGACCCGGTTTTGGTCATTTTAAGAATTTTGTAGACCATGAGGCTATTCATTTTACAGTTTTTGTTATCACGGACATATTTCTTGTAAAAAGTGATTTAGATCTAGCCTAAGGATACATTTTTTTTCATAATGATTCAATGGAAAAATAATCCTGTAGAAAAGAAAAAGAAATGGGAATTTGTGCCATTTTTGGCCAGATTTACCCCATTTCTGGCCACAGTCATGTGCCAGTTTTGGCCATCAAAATTCATCAAAAATAAAAAGCAGATAATTCAAAGTAATAAAAAGTTAATTCGAAAATCGCATATTTTACGACCAACAGTCTTTATTTAGAGAAAAATAGCTAACATAATATTGACGACAAATCTATACTTATAATAAATCTGTAGAGAGGTCAATTCTGTACATGAAATATATTTTCAAAATAACTATCAGGGGGTGATTAGTGATCCATACTGATGGCAAAAATGCAATCAGTAAAATTTTTGTCTGTCTGTCCGTCTATGTTCCTTATAGAAACAAAAAGTACTCGACGGATTTTAACAAAACTTGGTACAATTATTCTTCATACTCCTGGGAAGGTTATAAGGTAACAGGAATTAGCGGGAAAATCCTTTTGTATAAAAAATCTAAACCGCTTAAGTTAGACGCTTGAAATTTGGCATGCAGGTACACCTTAGTAAACTTAAAGCTTAGTTACAACAGGATATTGCAAAAATCCCACGGGAACGGGAGATAGCGGGAAAAAACATTTATATGAAAAAATCTTAACCGCGTAAGATAGAATGAAGGGGGTAAAACGGGATCCACGTGTACGAAGTCGCGGGCGGCCGCCAGTATGAAATATAATATCTCAGCTTGAATTGAAATTACAATTAAGAAGATCAACATTAACCTATACTATATTTTATGCGGTGAGTACTCGAACAATTTTCTTTTCACGACACAGATTTTTTTAGTATTTGGTTTCGATGGAAGCATTATAATCGTAACTCTTAAAATAAATAGATTACTTATATCAAAATAGCTAAGTAATTAAATTGAAAAATCACGATAAAAACTAAATGGCCAGAAGTGGGGTTTTACCAGAGGTTTTACGTGCACCACTTTTGGTCAGTCATGTGGCCAAAGATAGGAAAATTCATTCATTTTGGCTCCAATTGATCAATGAGGGCTATCGTTTTAGCGCTCACCAGTTAGCGCCACTGTAGAGTAAGGTCCTGTCACTTGCTAGTATAGCCTGACCAGGAACATAAAAACCCTCGCCATGTTGCGGAAAACTAATGGTACTAATTTCTTTTAATGGCAACAGTAACTGAAAACTTCATTGACATGTCACCTTGCATGTCAGTCTATTGTTGTCAAAGTGTAAACAAACTTTATTTTAAATGTGTGCAATTGATTTTGTGAATTAAATTGCTAAAATATTTTTATAGTCGTGAAAGAAAAGTGGTTCACGATGTGTTAATGTATTTTTCGAAGAGAAATACTAAGGGTTCGGACAATATTTTCATTGAATAATGTTTCCGACAAAGGTTGTCAAATTGACTGACATGTTTATCGTATGGTACAGTCCACTATGAAAATTAGCTGTAGTCTGTTTCAACTACCTTATATGTTACGGTCAAAGTGATAAATGTGAAAATTATGAATAATCGCCGGTTATTATGAATAATTACCGCATGATTTGGTAAATGTGATTAATATGAGGTCATTTATGTGTGTATAAAACTAAATAGGCGGCTTAGGGGTGGCCCAAGGGCCACCCCCGCCGAACATTAACCTATTTTTCACTTTAAATCAAAACATTATGTTATAGGCATCATGGAAAAGTAATATTATGCAAGAAACATTCCAAACTCATTATGCCAAATTATATTAATATATATGATATCAAAACGTCCAAAAGTTTGCCTGTACACGAGCACGTACACAAGATGTTGTTCTCTTTTATGAAATTTGTTAGTACTAAGATTGAATTATTAAATAATCACTGTTAAATGTGATTAATTTATCACTTTTACCGCGACTGGCGGTAATTATTCATAATAACCGGTTATTATTAATAATTTTCAATTTATCACATTAACCGTAACATGTAGGCACTTTAACGTGACTCACACTGTACTATGTAATTATTTTGAGTCAATGATAAGGCTGATTGTAAAAATTCAATCGCTAATTTCGCAATTTCTTATGCTATTTATTTAATATACTTTTTAAATAAGATTTTAAACATCCGCAACATCCATGGTTTAGAGGTATACACCACAAAATTTTTATCACTGAAAAAAAAATTCAGGGTAATGAGTTATTGGTACTGATCCCATTTGTGCAAAAAAAGAAGTTAAATAAAGTGACTAAAATTTCCTCCTAAAATTGGTAATTTATGGACACACGCGTCGCTAGCACTATTTACGTACGATAATGTAACACTTATTAGAATTCAAAATGGTCTAAGTTAGCTAAGTAATGTAATAATAACGCTGGAAGCGTGGTCGAGGCGTGAGCGAGACAGACAGATGAACAGATCGATGCAACGTGCGAGCGCGTACGACTACTCTAGCAAGCAGCGGAGTGACAAAGCCGTGACGCGTAAAATACGGACTAAAGAAAATTTAATAAAAAAATTAACTTTATGAAAAACATTTCTTTTTCTTCTGCTTTAAATATTTCACACGTTTCTACATAACCTGTTAAAATTTTTTCGGTGATAAAAATTTAGTGGTGTATAATAATAATTATGTCATAGTAAGTTTGGTTTATTACACTACTAGCTTTCCGCCCGCGGCTTCGCCCGCGTGGAATTTTGTCTGTCACAGAAAAACTTTATGGCGCGCGTCCCTGTTTCAAAAACCGGGATAAAAACTATCCTATGTTCTTTCCCGGGACTCAAACTATCTCTATGCCAAATTTCATCAAAATCGGTTGCGAAGTTTAAGCGGGAAAGCGTAACAGACAGACAGACAGACAGAGTTACTTTCGCATTTATAATATTAGTTGGGATTTTGTAACCAAAAAACATGGTTTGGTCGATGGCCGCGCGAAAAAAAAAGACGCCAATTTCCGGCATTATCTTTTAGATACTGGGACATCGTTACAATATTGTTTTTTTTTTAAATAACCACCGTCTTTTTAGTTTTGGTCTGTATTTTAATCCCCTTCAGTGAAATTGTATAATGTTTTCAACATCACGAAACTTCTCCATTGTCCTTTATTTTTATTTTTTTTAATGGCTCGCGCGGCTTGCGCATTTGCCAATGTCAATGTCCTTTATTAAATTAAGTATAAATAAATCAAGTACCTTCACTAATTTTGATACAACCTACTTTCACTAATTTTGATGCAATAAATGAATAATAAATTGAACTAAATATTACTGTCACTAAAATTATGTTACTCTCATACATTTAATTAGTTAGGGTAGGTATATAAAAAGTAATAGAGAATATGCAAGGTTTTTTCATTTCTCACAATATTTCAGTAGCCTTGGCATCATCAAAAATTTATAAGTTCTTTGCGACAGCACCCATTAATGTTATGCATTTTTCTTTGTTAGAATTATCCTGGAATTGGAAAGTGTACTCTCACCAAAAATCAAAATATTATTAAAAAACAAGCACGGAAGATAAAAACTTTGAAGCAGAAAGTCAATAGACTTCAAAGTAGAAACAGATCCCTAAAAGATATTATAAAATCCCTAAGAAACTACGTTGATCCTGAGACATTTAATAGACTAAAACTAAAGGACTAATAGACTATAGTCTACAGAGCTAGGTAGGACTATTTTTATCGACAGAAAAAATTACAAAAAATATCTGAAATTTTTGTAGGTATAGCATTTTTTATAACAGGTGTGCTCCTATAACAGAAACCAAAAAAACACGAATTTAAATGCAAATTTTTTTTTTCAAAAAGTGTCATTTTTTATTATTTGTTGGCATTTTCTGAGTATTTCATATTATATTTATTTTAGTATCGCCTGTTATTTAGCATCATTACTGTTTTTGTTTTGTCAGGATCATAATATTATTATCTGGTATCCTTAGGTATAATTTCGTCCAATTCGTAATTATATTGCTGTCGCCACAGTGCGACGGGCGGCCGCAGTGAGTGTGCGAGCGCGACAGCAATATAATTACGTACGAGCGATAAGGATGGGTGGCTTGAGGTCATTGGACGAAATTATATGTGCTCGGCGACCGGACTTTAGTTCAAAGTTATTACGTTTTCTTTACAATAAGTATTAGAAATAAAAAAAAATCTTAAAAAAAATTTTTTAAAAATCTCAGATATTTTTTTTATATTTTTTCCGTCGATAAAAATAGGTCAACTTTCACCTACTTATTTCCATATGTGCACTTTATCAAGCAAGACACACTGTATACAATTTTCAAAATTCAACAAAATTGTCTACAAAAAATGATGAATGTTTTTGTTGATTGAGTGGCAAAACACTTGCTGATTAATTGTTTGTACAAACTTACTACTTATAGAAATACAATCATTAATCATTACTGTGTTTTAATTTGATATATTTTCATAGGCAGATTTAATTTTTATCTTTCCCAAAGGTGGAACTGCGAAGTTCAAATTTTCTTGCGTTTTTTTTTGTAATTTGCAGGTCTTTCAAGTTGTATGTTAATCAAAGTATGATACGTGACAATAGGCTAGTTTCCTAAAAAAAATTTTTTAGTCCTTAATGTTTAATATCTAAAAATATTGGACACATATATTTTTATTTGTCAATCTAACAAATAATTACATAGTTATGGTGCGTTGAAGTTCCGCACGACGTCACAACGTGCGGCACTTTAATGCACGCATTGACGTCACGGGCCTCTTCTTATGAACTTTATCTCTTTAAATTCTCATTAGTTTGAAAAAGTGAAAAATACGTGTAGAGTATTTTTTGATAAGTTAACTGACGGACTAATTAAAACTCTTGCTTTTTAACCCAGGAAACATCCCTATTATTATTAAAATCTAACTTGGAGAGATAATAATTGGTATATTGATGATACTCATGGCAGTTTATGGTTATAAATTAGGTATGTAAACAAGGTTCTTAATTTGTAACTGTCACAAATCATGTTTTGATCAATACAACCTGACACTGACTTGCAAAATGTAAGAAAATTAGAAAATTGAAAATGTCGCGTCTACTTGAACGCATTCACCTTTTTACCGTTCAAATTGCACGGTACCAGACGTCTGTTTATATTTTTTTTTCTTAAAAAAATAATAAATGGGCACAATGTTCACTTGGCAACCCTAAATTAACTCACGTCTCACACATTGAACAGCTGCCCGTCATATTACGTACGAATAGTGGGTCCAGAACTCCAAAGTGCACAATAAAATCGCATACCAATCGAAAAATGGTCAAAAGCCTTTTTTTTGGATGGAGTTATTACCTATTATCATGACGGATTCGATTTTAGATTCGATCAAAAAGTGAAACTTGTCTCTGTATAAGGTGGTATGTATAAAGGTCTACCAGAATCTCATGGCAAACAAAAATATTGGAAAAGTGTGTTTTTCATATTATGGCAATTGTCTATGGTTTAATTCACCTGTCAAAGAAAATTATGAAATCTGTCAGCCGCTGCAAAAATTTTGTAATCTCTTCTTGACTATTTGTTATTTTTGTGAAAAAGTCGAAAAAGCTCAAGCAAGTCATATTGTTTTCAGGCATAATTCAAAGTCAATCTTTAATTTTAAAGCGCGTCGTCGAGTTGACAGTAAGTTGGACTGAAATGTTTTAATACATTTAGTTTATTACCCAACTGCGTCAGAAGGAGGGTTATGTTTTTTTATATTATCTTTAATAGATGCTTCATCGGGGTTTTCAGGTATATCTCACAAATTGGTGCAGAGAAATGGTCAAAATGTTATGACCACGTAAAGAAAATTGAAAAAGATTTCATCAAGCAAGATTGAATAATGGAGAAGATTCCAAATTTTTTCTTTCCAATAAACTTGAAATAAATATAAGTAAAACTAATAATAATTGTGACAGAATCATGAAAATATCTCTACAAATAAAGAAGTTACAGGGCCCTAAAGTTGCGCATAACTATTCGCGCCATTTTGATCGGTGTATTTGTTACGGTCAAAGTGATAAAAATGTGAAAATTATGAATAATCGCCGGTTATTATGAATAATTACCGCATGATTTGGTTAATGTGATTAATATGAGGTCATTTATGTGTGTATAAAACTAAATAGGCGGCTTAGGGGTGGCCCAAGGGCCACCCCCGCCGCACCTTAACCTATTTTTCACTTTAAATCAAAACATTATGTTATAGGCATCATGGAAAAGTAATATTATGCAAGAAACATTCCAAACTCATTATGCCAAATTATATTAATATATGATATCAAAACGTTCAAAAGTTTGGCTGTACACGAAAATAACTAATTTTCAGAGATTCACATTATGTTATAAAGTCAATTTTGATCTAAGTCGAGTTAGATCCCTTTTCACTGGGGGTACAGATATATGATATCAAAACGTTCAAAAGTTTGGCTGTACCTACACGAGCACGTACACAAGATGTTGTTCTCTTTTAAGAAATTTGTTAGTACTAAGGTTGAATTATTAAATAATCACTGTTAAATGTGATTAATTTATCACTTTTACCGCGACTGTCGGTAATTATTCATAATAACCGGTTATTATTAATAATTTTCAATTTATCACATTAACCGTAACATATTCACGACAGTCATTCGGAGGACAAACAGTAAATTACCCCTGATGCAGTGCTGTTGACAGATCCATTTTTTTTAAATCTAGCAGTTTTTAATTTTTCAGCTAGGGTCACTCAAGATTTTCTAGTTCTGAATGAAGTGATAAGTTAAAAGTATGATGCATAATAAAATTAGTTACCTACTTAAAGTAATATACGATTTATTTATTTTTCAAGACATTTTCCTACCTACCTAAAATGGATATTCGTACTTCATGTTCATTAATAAATAAATTATTTACAAATAAATTATTTGAATTTGAATTAATATAAAGTCATAAAAGTAAAAAATTAATAGGTGTACCAGAATCTCATGGCATATGGGGAAAATAAACTTTGTTGAGTGCAGTACTGGGGAAATTGGATTAAACGATCTAGATACTGTTTAATTTTTTATTTATGATTTTATTAAATGAACATGAAGTAGGTAAGTACAAATATATTACATTTTAAGTATGTATGTATATGAAGAATGTTGTTATACATCGAGTTTTGAACAAATCTTAACATTACTATCATGTAACTAATTTTATTATGTGTCATACTTATGACTTAGATATCACTTCATTCAGAACTGGAAAACGATTCTAAGAACTCCACTTGCATTTCTTGTTCTTCAATAGATGATCAAGATAAAAGAGTGATTTATTATAAATCGCTTTTCCAGCATTTCAATTATTCAATCTTGCTTGATGAAATCTTATTCAATTTGCTTTACATGGTCATAACATTTTCACCATTCCTCTGCACCAATTTGAGATACACCTGAAAACCCCGAAAGATACTACATAAGAATAATATAAAAAAACATAACCCTCCTTCTGACGCAGTTGGGTAATAAACTAAATGTATCAAAACATTTCAATCCAACTTACCTGTCAACTCAACGATGCGCTTTAAAATCAAAGATTGACTTTGAATTATGCCATAATTTACAATACACATTGAAAACAATATGACTCGCTTGAACTTTTTCGATTTTTTCACAAAAATAACATAAAGATCTCGAAACTTTGGATCGAAAATTTCTGCAGATCTCATAATTTGCTTTGACAGGTGTCAATAAAGCCATAGACAATTGCCATAAGAACTTACTAAGCGACAGAGGGAATACCCTGGGTGTTTTTAACGGGTTCGAGCCCCCACATAACATAAAGCCGGCAGCAGGTCATTTTGTCCGTCTTCTACAGCTCGGAAAGGATAAACCTCAAGTCGGCTGAAGAGGCACCGCAATACGTCTAAGCAGTGTACCTTGACATTGAGACTCCTGCATCCTGCATCATTGAGCCTTAAACATACATAACAATAGTTTCATTAGTTAAAAGGTATAATATACAGGGTGGAATTATGTAATGCCACCTGGAGGGAAGTACACACGGCCACACTGTTAACTATCCATTTCCGTTTTTGCTCTCGCTCTAATCAAATGGTGATTCTTTGCGATAGAACGAGATGACATGACAGGCAATGGGCAGTTAACACTGTTGCCGATAGTACCTACTCTTAATATTACATAGACATTTTTTCTCAAAGAAAATATTCCTTTATTTTTTAAAAGAAACAGAACTGCAATCAAAGATTTCCAAAAATTTGCTTGCCACACCCGGGATTCGAACCAACTAAAATCTGTTAAAAATTACACCCTGTATTTTTATAGCATCGATCGTTAGGGTAATGAATTCTCTTTAACAAACTTGATTAATCAAATTAAAGGAAAACCATTAAATCTTAAATTATTTTAATTACGTACAGGAAATTGTTTGGTATGGTAGAGAATTTTCGAAAAATTTTCGAAAATCTTTGAATACACTTTTCTTTCTTTTCAAAAATAAAGGAATGTTTTCTTCCAGTAAAATTTTCTATCTACAGTATTAAGAGTACTTTCCCTCCAGGTGGCATTACAAAATTCCATCCTGTATATAGATGACCCACGCTGAACTCTGTACCCCCAGTGAAAACGGAGTTAAGTCGAAAATGGTGATTTTTGGGAAATCGCATTTGAAGTTAAAAAAAATCCTGCTTCGTCGCTATTAGAGATAACTTGGTGAAATATTTTTTAGGTGAAAGGTAATGTTAGATATAATTAGGCAGTGTGCCAGTTTGGGAAATATAGCATGTAGTTTTTTCGTAATTAAATAAAAACCCAGTTATATCGCCATGCACGGCAACTTTAAATTCGTGTAAAGTGATGTAATGGGACATAAATCATTTTACACCACACTGAATTGACCACCCGCTAACAAGTGTAAAGTGATACATTTTACNNNNGAACTGTCCCGCGAAACTCAATGACAGGGGGGCGCTACCATCGTTCAACTATATGGTTTCCAACATGGCAAAAATCGGAACTAGCGATCCGGTATCGACGGTGGCGCCCCACTGTCAATGTCATGCATAGGACAGTTC